CCCAGGAAAGGCACAAAGCTACAAAGCTACACAGAGAAACCCTGTCTCGAAAAACCAAAAAAAAAAAAAAAAGAATTAAAGATCCTGACTGATGGTCGCAAACAAGATGGGGGACTAGGTGTCTTTCTACTGGAGCTTAGTTGTATATGGTCCAGCATATCCATGCGGTACGTGCCTTTAACAGAGTGAACTGAAGTCCAGGTGTGTGGTGGGTGCTGCATTCCCAGCACTGAGCACACTGACAGCAGGAGGATGACAAGGCTTGGCTGGCCTAGGTGGCTGTATAGCAAGTCTGTCTCAAATGAACAAACAAAGAATAAAATAATATGTGCTGGTACATGATGGTTTCTAGGATATGTGGATCGGAGTACAAGGTCAGTGAGACATGTACGTACTTCCTTGTTTCCTACAAGCTGAGGTTTTAATCCATCCCTAGTAACATATGTAGACAACTGGGGAAGAGAAATACAGGTTGGCATGAAGAGAAATAGTAATTCTTCACTGTGTACTTTTATGTTGTTTGCATTTTTTAAAGCCGCATACTTTTCAAACAAACCTGTTTTTTAGAAGAAGAAAGAAAACAAACTTGTTTTGCTTGGACTTCCCTAACAGGAGTGATCGACACAGGAACTGCCCCATTTGTCGCCTACAGATGACTGGAGCAAACGAATCGTGGGTGGTATCAGATGCACCCACTGAAGATGACATGGCTAACTATATTCTTAATATGGCTGATGAGGCAGGCCAGCCCCACAGGCCCTGAGTGGGGAAGACTCTTGTTATTGTGAACTCCAGATACACTGTGGTCGTAGAGGAGGAGTGGAGGGGTGTGTTGCACACAGGAAGATCAGTTTTCCCACCCTCTTATTTTTGCTATTCTGATGATATGTCCCCTTCTGAAATAAACTCCCATGTCTTCCATGTAGGGTGGGCTACACTTTGCTGCTGTTTGGCCAGGTCCCCACTGTCCACCTGTTCTTGGTTGCTCTTGAGCCCTTTGCTCCAGATAAGCAGCAATACTTGACACTACTGCTTTTCAGGGACGGAGTGTTCTGTGTCTCTTTAGCTAGGTTTACAATATAGAGTGTTCAAAGTTGTAGCCATCCGAGATAAATGACTGAAACAAAGGTCTCAGTGGGAGTTGCTTCTGCCGGGACCTGAGGAGCGTGCACTCCGCCCCCTTGTGGTTCATTCTGGATCCTTTAATACCAGGGCCCAATTGCTTCCTGATGGTCTATGTAACTTCAGCAGTGGGTTCTGGGACTACTTTTTATCAATGCCGTGCTGCAGCACTCGTAGAAGGACTCCGAGGTTGGGACTTCGTCTTGCAAATGGACTCCACTGGAAGAATCTTTGTGGCTGTTCTCCGGACTTGGGGAGGTGTTCATAGTGCCCATGTGGCTTGGCTTTTCAGAAGGAAATCTTTTTTTATCACAGACACACTTTTATATTTCCAGGTTACACTGAGTCATCCAGTCCTGAGCTAGAGTGTTTATTTTAGAGAAAGACACTGTTCAGAGGCTTCCGTTTCCTCAATTCTCTTAGATTAAAAGAAAAGGAAGATCAGATGAAGCTTTTCACTGCACATTTGTAAACCCCTGAAATCCAGAGAGCAATTGCCTTTCTTCCTGTTTCTCTGAACTCCTTTGAAGTCTGAAGAGAGTATGGTAATAGGAGTACAGCCCTCAGCCAATCTCGGCCATGGCTAATGAAGTAAGAACATTGATGTTAACAGTTCAGCCTATAATAAAACTAGTGCATGAAGTCAAGTCACCTTTAAGAAATTTTAGCATTCATAGAAATTTTCTCACTGATTAATTGCAAATGTTCCTATTTTCCTAAGTACAAAGGTACATGATTAAAGTTGCTGCTTATTGATTTTTTGATTAAAATCTTAATGAGCATGCAAATAAACTCCCTTTCAAAGAAAAAGACCTGACTTGATTCTGCCCCCCAAGTACTGAAGACTTCAGTTGTCTCCCGACTGTCACGACATGACAGCGAAGGACCAATGGCTGAGGAGTTCTTCCGGGTGTGGAGGCCGGTGCAGTGCTGGCCTCTGTCCTGTCCTGGCTGTGTGATGCTTTCCCAGCCCGAGACAGCCTTATCTGCTGTAGGCTCCTGTTGGGAAACAGACTGTATTTGTGGTTTTCAAACCCTAGCAGTGAGACTTCCAGTAAAATGTGAGAGTCCATATGCACTGAGTGTATGCACACATGCTACCACAGTTATACAGAAGCTGCATTTTATTAATATGGGGTCCTTTTCATCAACTTCGTACAGTGTGGTCACCATTAAGTCAGTGTAGGAAAACATTACAATGATTGGTGAGACAGTTTCATTAGAATTTAGTAAGTAACAAATTTGTGTAATGAGAAGCTTTTGTTTTGTAAAAATAATATTTCAGGGCTGGGAGTGTAGCCCAGTTGGTAGAGAGTTTGCCTAGCATATGTGAAGCCCTGCGCTCCATTCCAGCACTGCATAAAAACAAACAGTCGTAGTGTACCTGGAACCCCAGCACTTGAGAGGGGGAAGCAGGAAGATGAGAAGTTCAAGGACATCCTCATCTACACAGTGAATTCAAGGCCAGTCTGGGCTACATTGAGACCCTATTTCAAAAAATTGTGGGTGGAGGCTGGAGCAATGGTCCAGTGGTTAAGAGCAATTGCTGTTCTTGCAGAGGACCAGAGTTCAATTCCCAGCACCTACGTTTGTGGTTCACAACAGCCTGTAATTCTAGCTCCAGGGGATCCAGTACCCTCTTCGGACCTTCTAGGGCACCTGCATACATGTCACACACACACACACACCCCAAAAATAAATCTTTAAGACATTTTAAAATTTGTATTTGCAGATGTTTCAACTTCCTCTGTTGATTCTCAAGTGCTCTGTGGAACATTTTTAAAACCTTGAGATAAGTGACCCTCTGAGATATTTTCCAGCCTTAAAAATCGAAATTGTCCTTTTGTATTAGTCTTGCTGGGTTTAATTCAAATTGCCTAACTGAAAAATGTTTCTGAAAATGAAGAACATAGCTTTATGGGTTTGGTATCTTTTCAGCAATAGACAAAGCTTTGATTCCCCAGAATCCTTCACATTTGAAGGAATTAAACGGTGAATCCAGTGACTTGATATTGTCCACAGCCCTTTCCTTACAGTCTGAGCTCCAAGATACGAACTGATCCACTGTGAGATGCCAGTGTCTCCCCTCACCTCATCAAGTAAATGAGCAAAGGTCTTTGCCCATCTTTCTTCAGCTGTGGATGGTAGGTAGGGCCTGCCTGCTGTAGTATCCGATCATAAAGTTGTCGCTTTGTCTCATGAGTATATACACACCTTTTCTACTCTGTACAGCTTTGTCTTTTTAAAATAATACTGAATGCACTTATCATAGTAGAGAATCGTGTGCCTTCTGCGATGTGTGTACTGCCTCCTGCTCTGGGGAACCTTTGTAATTTGGACTGTTAGTGCTCTGCTTACTCAGTAACTGGGTTGACTCGGATGCTGTAGGCACTGGATTTCAGAAGATGAGTTTGGCTGTGTACTGCTGTAAAGACTGAGGGCAGCGGAAGCTGTTTTATTCTTAGGAGAACTGATGCAATGTGCAATAAGTAAACCTTGCAAGTGAACATTAGCTAATGACAGACTTTTGCTTATGTATTTCACATCCTTATGTACTAAATATTTATATTTATTAGAAGACTTTTATATTGTGCTCTGGGGATTGTGTTTGCGTGCTGTTTTGAGATGATTTCCTTATATTAATATATATCTGGGTAATAAGGCTGCTTGGAAACCTTTTGGTTCCCTGATTTTTAACACTGGGAAGTTGGGTTCATTAAAAGATAGTATGAATAATTTGCATTTGTGGTGTTGGGAGTTTCCTTGCTTTGGGGGTATTTCTCAACTGAAGCTTCCTTTGTCAGCTCACACCCACATTGATGAGGGACAAGACAATGGCAGTGTAAACAGTGTGTGACTTTGCTTGCCTTTTCTACCCTACTACCCCATTAGACTGAGTAGAGGATTGAGCATTGCACCCCAGCAGTTCTGTGCTTCCCATGTAGGAGGGTGTCAGTAGAGAACTGCCTTGAGTCTCACTGCCCACAAGGAAAGCAGGAGGTAGCAGCTTAGAGGAGAGTTCACTGGTGCCTGACATCCATCCTGTGGAGAAGTACACACTGCTCTCAAAAGCACAAAGCCTCCTCAAATACACTTTGATAAATACGCCACTCTATAGGCCTAGCTCTTCACTGTCTTCTACTTTACAGAATATCCCCTATAGGTAAGAAGCCCAGAGGCTGCTGGTCTGTGCTGTGTGTCCCTTTTTTATCGGCATTATGGTTATTCCAACAGTCATGGAGCAGACACAGAACAGCACATGCAGCACAACCAGTTACCTTCATTTGTGTTGAAGAGCCGGAGAACGATGACCCCACCCCTCAGCAAGCAGTAACTACTGAGGAAGCGAGACACGCTCTCAAACCTGCTTTCATTCAAGACAAAGTGAGCAGGTTGACCAAGGGGCTGGTTTTGAGCAGCATAACTTAAATAAGATATAAGGCAACCATCTGCCCTTAGGAATTGGCCGGAGCACTGTCTGGAACCTGTCCCTTTAGAAACCTGGGTCCACATACACTTGCCTTTGCTTCCAAACTAAAACAAACAAGCAGGGATTCACCCTCAGCCCCCAAGAGACTCAGTGAACTACAGGATGTAATAAAACATAATGTGTTAGAGAAACCAGAGCCTGGAAGCTCTCAGGCTGTGTAAGACTGCACATGCTGGCAAACAGACTAACAGAATATTCAGGAAAAGAACTCGAGGTGGGGTTCTGCTGGTGTCCTGTGGGCAGGCAGAAGCTGGCAAAGATGCCAGATAACCACTGCAAGGTCTGAGCTTCGGCTCTCAAATTCTGGGTTTTCCTTGTGAATGCCCTCCACTTCTCACAGCTTTTCACTCTGCCCCATCTTAAAACAATAAACATTTGCTCTATTGAGTCACAGTCCTAAGAGACTTTATTTGTAGTTTTTTTAGAAAAGTATTTGATACAATGAAAAATCTGTACAATACTTGCTATGTTTGGGCAAATGTATACAAATGGAGGCTTTTCAAAAATAATCCCTCAGATAATGACAGGCTTTCATTCAGTTTCATAATCAGCCATGTGAGATAGTAGATTTGCCTAGTAAGAGGATGGCATGGTTCCATAAGCTGCAGTGACCACTGGGAGAACAACAGAGTCACAGGATGAGATACTCTACAATCAAATAAGCATCTTCCAGGTAAAATTAGGTTCATCTAGCAGTGATTCAGAAGGACTTCTACCTTGTGAATAGGAAGGTCTTTGAACATTGTTGAGTATTCTGCACACACAGATGCCAAAAGAGAAAGTCAGTCAGTTATTTCATATGCATTTATTGAGCACCTACTGTGTTCTAGGCACTAGTAACAAAGATGAGTAGTCTGATAAAGTTTAACTCCACATTGATCTTAAAAACTTTCTACCTGGTCCCTGGGACCTTGATAGCTTCTGAAGAAATCTGTGTTTTAAAATAAAATGCACCATGTTAAAGTGATTTTTAAAAAAAATCTAACATTTGTGAATCCTAAAGAAAGAGAGGGAGAAAGACTGGATCAGGGACCTGGTTCTAGTCCTGTGTGTCCTTAAGAGTGTTTCACTGCCCTGGGCCGACTCCTGGGGGAAGGTGGTAACAGCTGCAATCATAGGCTATTAGAAGCAAAAGGAACAGAGGCCCTGTGCTTTTCAGAGGCCTTCATTAAGAGGACAATATGATGTTAACAGCCCCAGAACCTCACCCTGTGTCTTCCCCAGCCCTGGAGTGCTCCATGAAATGGATTCACAGCCCACGATTTGAGATGACTCATTGAGTCCTGGATGAGGAAAATTAACACACAACAGGAGCGGGTGGTATCAGTGGATGTACTATGCTTCCTAACGAGGTAGGGAGGAGGGGCTAAACAGGTGAAGAAACGCATTTTAAAATGCACAAATCAACAAGGGAGCCTCACATTTTCTCTCAAAGTAGCCCCTTTATGAAAGGGGGCTTTGAAGGGGGTTTAAGGCAGCCAGCCATCAGATGCTGAAATGGGAACTACTCCACAGGGCCTGCTGAGAGGAGTGTGGCAGACACTGTGTGTCACTTGGTATTCAGCCTTGCAAAGTCCCAGCCCCAACCATGAAAGCACTGGCAATCCCAAGAGAAACGTGGAAAATCAGGAACAAGTAGACACAAGTGCCAGCTCCCAGCTCCCCCACCAGAGCTGGCCAGCATCTGGCTCAGAATGGGCATGTTGATAAAGTGCAACCCAAATCAGGAATTTGAGATTTCTTCAGAGGCAGCCTTGTCACAGACAGAAGCCCTCGTTTGAGATCTTGGCCACCATTCGCCCCAGCAGACTTGAAATTAAACCAAAAGGTGAAAGTGTGTGTGGAACACTGGGCCTATTTGGTCAGGGCTGTGATCTCCTCGGACTTCATGGCATCGGACAGGAAGCTGAGCTCATTGCACAGGGTCTCGTAGCGGAACGCCATCCGGATCTGCGCGACATTTGTCTTGCGGATATCATTGCCCTCCGGTCCTTCTTTGTAATAATTCTGACCCAAAAACTTCTGCTTTTCCTGCAGGCCAAGAGAAAGTGAAGTGAGACCAGATTCATGTCTGTATCCACACAGACAGCTTTGACGTGAGCCCCAGCATACAGGCTAGTGTCCCTAAAGCCGATCCTCCACGGGGACATCTTCCTCCCATGGGACTCCAAATCTGACCACTTGGCCATTCCCTCCATTGTTGTGAGAGAGGAGAGAGAATTAGGGAACCGACGGGCCTACCCTGGGTGGTAAAGGACTGGCCTGAGAGGTGACGTGGGCAGGCAGTCATGTGTTCCTAGAGAGGCCAGATCCCAGAACAACTCACACAGCACTTAGGCCTTTAACTGTCATCTCCCCTGAGACCCTGTAAGACCGCCTCTTCCTGTTCAAATGACATCCCCTGAGCAGATGCCCCGGTTCTCAATGTTGGCTCCACAGCCGATTCTTACGGCAGCCATACAAAGGTCCTGAGTCTCGTGTGTGCGCTCAGGGCCTGCTCTTGCCAGGACTATTTTAGGGCCTGGCAACTTAACATGGAACGAGCCTCTGCCCTCAACTTCCATTCGGAAGGGAAACTGAAAAACACATGAGGAAACGCATGGCACAGTGTCTGCAGTGCCGCATGCTATGGAGAAAAATAGGTTAAGGGGAAGGAGGAGGGCAGGTCTGAGATAGATGAGGGGCAGCCGTGATGGCCCCCAAGGTTTCTGCTGGGGCCTGAATGTCAGTGCTCCTGAGACCTGGCTTGCTCAGCTTGTCTCCTATCCCAGGGCCTGGCAGGCACCTGTGCACAGAATTCTGTGTGCTCCTTTGTGAAGGGGGAAGGGCAGACAAGCCCATCCCAGTCACCTGATGCGAGAGGCCGCTCTGCAGCACGCTGTTCCTGGCGATCTCACACAGATCACATGTGCTCAGCTTCCACACTTGGGCTGCGATGGCGTACTCCTCCATGAGTGCTTCCTAGACCCCGCCCCAGAGCACACAGGTTAGATGAGAGAGACCACCCTTCAGCCTTGGAACACAAAAAGCGCTCTCCCATGGCTTTCCTTTACCCGCTCGCACTGGGATCATCAAACAAGCTCACACCTCAAACTCCAAGCCCCTGAGATCTGTTTCTGTGAAACTGTGGGTCACCAAATGGAGATCAAGCAAGGAGACTTCTAGATTTGTTTGCTCACCAGCACTGGGGATCTAATGTGTCAGAAAGCTGGGGTCCTGCTCTTCCTTGACAGTCCTTGATAAAAGGGAGGCGGACTGGAGAGATGGCTCAGAGGTTAAGAGCACTGACTGCTCTTCCAGAGGTCCTGAGTTCAATTCCCAGCAACCACATGGTGGCTCACAACCATCTGTAATGGGATCTGGTGCCCTCTTCTGGTGTGCAGACATACATACAAACAGAACACTGTATACATACTAAATAAATAAATCTTTAAAAAATAAAAATATAAATAAATAAAAAATAAAAGGGAGGCTCCTTAGGTAAACGTAGGAGCTTTCATGCAAATGACACGCAAGGATCTGTGAGTGCGGCAGCTCCCCAAAGCCGTAGCCTCTGAGATTGACTAACCAAGTGACAGAGGCTTTGACAGAAAAACAGAAGGGAGCCGAGGGAACCCTAACTGGCAGCAGCTTGTTCAAGCAGCTCAACTAGTTAACTGTTGCAGTGTAATTAACTGTTACAGTGTAACTAGTAGTTTGGTTCCAGGGCCTCATATGACCACCTGGAGCTGAGTTGTAGTCAAGGTCTAGATTACTTAAGCTGTTGGCCCTTTACTGGCTCTTACACAAGGCCGACGGCCTGCCTCAAAAGTTCAGCACTCCTGTAGTCAGGCACAACTTTAATTATTTGTATTTTATGTGCATTGATGTTTTGCCCATGTGTGAAGGTGTCTGTGTGAGGGTGTCGGATCCCCTGGAACAGGAGTTAGCCTTGAGCTGCCACGTGGGTGCTGGGAATTGAACCCTGGTCCTCTGGAAGAACAGCCAGTGCTCATTACTTGCTGAGGCATCTCTCCAGCCACCCACTCTCCCCAGTCAGGCACATTTTTAGTGTCTGCTCTTAGTGTTGTTTTGTTGTTGTTGTTGTTTGTTTGGTTTTTGTTTTTCGAGACAGGGTTTCTGTGGGTAACAATCCTGGCTCTCCTGGAACTCTTTATGTAGACAAGGCTGGCTTCGAACTCAGAGATCTGCCTGCCTCTGCTTCCAGAGTGCTAGGATTAAAGGGGTGCACCACCATGGCTGGCTAGCTTTGCTTTTTATTTAACATACTATTTTTATAAAAATGTTCAAAAATAAAAGTTAAAATGAGAAAAATGTAACATTAAATAAGAACAAGAAAGACTCCCTCCAAGTGGGGAGATGATGCAATCCCTAAGGGGCTGAGCTTAGCCAAAGCCCTGCCTTATCTTCTGGCTGGGAACTATCTGCCATCCATCACCAGCCCTTTCTTTAACTCCAGATCGCCTCCAGCTGAGGGGCTAAACTGTGGTTACAAAGACCTCTGGGACTCAGAGACCTTTTGCCAACTCCATTTGGGAACGCTGTAGCTGTTGTGAGGCAGAATTGCTTCCGGGTACTTTTCAAGAAATTGAATGCAGAGGCGGAGATGGGAACCCAGCTGTCTTCTATTAAGTGAGACATTCACGCACACTGCAGAACGACGCCACTCCTCTTGGGATTGTTGTTGGGGAAATATTTTCATAACATTTTTTGCTATTTATACAATACTTAATGATCCATTACTATTTTGGGATGGGTGGAGGTTGTGTGTGTGTGTGTGTGTGTGTGTGTGTGTGTGTGTGTGGTGTTGTGATCGTTGTTGTTAGTTTCTTGGTTGGTTTTGTTTTGTTTTGATGCAGGCTTTCATCTGTAGCCCAGGCTGGCCACTGCCTCAGCCCCCCTAGTGCTAGGATTACAGGCATCAAACCAATACATTACTGTTTTTTAAAGGTGAAAGATTTTTACACTCAGAAGCGAAACCAGAGTATTACATTACTGTTTTTAAGTGAGTTTGTAAATATTTTTAAAAGCATCCCTGGCCTCTCACACCATAAAGCACAGTAGACACAACAAAGACCAGGAGGAAGCTCGGTAATGGCTTCCACTCTGGGTGTAAAGGGTCAGGATGCTGCAAGCCTGCAGAAGCCCCGCCCAGGACATTGCAGCTGCTATTTTTTGCTAATCAGTGGCTGATCTTGTCAACACCAGTAGAATGTTCTGGGAACACTTGTGGCTGTTCCCATGCATGACATCATCTTTCCCTTCTCTCCTCCCAGAGACCCAAAGCATAATCATAAAAATACTATTAACAAAGCCAGGTGTGGCGGCACATGCCTTCAATCACAGCACTCCAGAGGCATAGGCAGAGGCAGGAAGAGCTCTGTGATTTCGAGGCCAGCCTGGTCTACATATCAAGTTCTAGGTTCTAGCCAGCCATGGCTACACAGTGAAACCTGCCCTCCCCTAAAGGGACAAGTACTATTAATTTTAAAAATTTTGCCTCAATATTTGAATGCATGGTGTATTAGACTATTAGACTCCATTAGCTTAAAGAAGAAATGGTTTTATGGCCACTTCACAAATAAAAGGAAATACAATACAGAGAGTTCCAATATCACAGAGATACATCCAAAAAGACTCCCCTCACCACAGGCTCACCCCTTGTCTTCACCAAGCCACACTACCCCCACAACAAAATTGGGCTCTGAGCTCACATCTTCACAGTGGCAGGGGCTGGGGAGCAGGCCAGGACGGATGCCTGCTGGGATACCACTGAACTTCCCCCACCTCCTCACCTTGGTGTAATGGAACTGCATGGGGTCATCGGTGGAGAGAGAGACATGCAGTCCTTTGTGCAGGAATTCCCGAAGCGGGTTCTTGGAATATTCCAGAAACAGGCTGTTGTTGCTGAGAGGAGACATGGCAATAGGGATCTGAGCAAGGTAGTAGAGATATTGCAATACAGGACTCTGCAAAAGAACCAACAAACACTCATGTGACACGTGCCAGAGGGGATGTGCGGGAGAAGCGCTTGTCAATAGAAACCAGAGGTTGGGCAGCGTCTGGACGGGTCTCCACCAAGCCCAAGAAAGCCAGGATGCCCAGACCCACCATCCTCTGCCTGTGTTCTCTCATTGCTCTGTGACATGAAGGGACTCTTGCCCACTGTTTGAAGTACCCACTCTTGGCTCCAGATTGTAGGGAAGAGCTCTGGACAAGAGGCCACATCTTACAATCCCCACAGGCCCCCTAAAGTGGGAAGGCCAGAAGAACCCCATATGTGTGAGGAATGTTCAAGTTGAGCCTTTAATTGGTTTGGATACAAAATGCCCTCCATAGGCTTGTGTGTTTGAGTACTGGGTCTCCAGCTGGTAGGACTGTTTTGGAAGGTTGTAGAACCTTTAGAAAATAGAGCCTCACTGGAGGAAGCGGGCCACTGGTTTGGGGCCTTGACATTTTGTAATAGCTAGGACCTACTTCCTACCCATTTTCTACTTCCTGACTACAGAGGCAATGTAACCCGGGTATATCATAGCATCCCTGCCGTGATGGGCTGAATCCTTCAAAGTGTGAGCCAGCATAAGCCCTTCCTCCTTCAAGATGCTTCCTGTTAGGCATTTGGACACGCGATGGAGAAGTGACTAGCAGAGTGCTGTTCACACTCTAGAGACCTAACCTGAAGAGAAGGGAAGAGGCAAGCTTTGGGCTGTTGTCCCTTAGAAGTGTGACCAGAGAGATGTCAGGGCCAGAGCAAGGGGATATTTTGGAAGTGACCCAATGTATAGAGAGACTGAGTACCCAGATTCACAGTGATATCACCTACACAAAGCAAAGCTAGATGGCCGCTGTGCCCACTGCCAGGGACTGAGTCAATCACTGACTCAATAGTGTGTCCTTTGTCCAAAGGCCTTTAGAATGAGGGCCTAGGAATATCGCCGCACAGAACGACGGTTGTTAGTCACCGTGGAGGAATCACAACGCTGTGGCTTAACGTTATGTTAAAATTATGCTATAGAGGAAGGTGGCTGGGGAAGATGGCTTAGTGGTTAAGAACATGTAGTGCTCCTGTAGAAGACCTGAGTTCAGCTTGGGGCAGTTGACAATAACCTGTAATTCCAGCTCCAAGGGATATGACAGCCTCTACAGGCTCCTGCACCCACTCATGCACAGACCCACACACAGACATGCATGCATAATCATAATTAGTCTTTAAAAAAGAAAGAAAAAAGGGGCTGGAAATACTAAACAACTGATTGTACTATATCTATAATGTAAGTAGGTGATTTCTGGTTACTTTTTTTTTTTAATCTAAACCATGATATGTTTGGTTATTTTATGATTAAAAGTGAGCTCAATTGCTTTTTTTTTTTCTTTCAAGACAGGGTTTCTCTGTGTAACAGCCCTGGCTGTCCTGGAACTCCCTCTGTAGACCAGGTTGGCCTCAAACTCACAGAGATCAGCCTGCCTCTGCCTCCCGAGTGCTGGGACTAAAGGTGCGCACCACCATGGCCTGGCTGTGCCCAATTGCTTTTGTTTGCTGTTTTTCCTGCTTTAATTTGTTTGTTTTGTTTGTTGTTGAGAGAGAAAGAGAACATGAAGTTGTGAAGGGAGGTGGGGAGGAATTGGAGGGGAAAGAATAATGATCAAAATAGATGAAAAAAATGTAAATAAATAGTGAGTGAACCTAAGACGACTCCAGGTAGCCCAGCCCTCCAGGAGCCGTGGCCTCCAGCACCACTGACCAGCAAGCACTCTGAGTGGGTGGATGGGGACCCAGCACACCTAGCATGGCCTCGGGGACTGGCCCACTTACCTTCTTGAGGAGCAGCCCGTGGGAAATGTTGTCAGCAGTCAGGAAGGCGGACACTAGGTGGGTGATGGAGCCTGCCTCCCCACAGTGAGGCCGGAATAGGAACGTGCTCAGGCCTCGTTCCCTGTGGAGGAGAGGCTCCAGGTCAGGACATGCCCCTGGTTTACCTTGGCCACACCCCAGCCCAGGACCCACTCCAGGGGAGAACATCCCATGGCATGGTCAGCACAGCTAAGCCAGTGCAGCCTAGAAACAGCCCTTCCTACAATGCCGAAGTCAAGAGACCTGACGTCCAGGGCAGAGGAAGCTGGCAATAGAGAGGCCCCGGCCTTCCTCCGTCCTTCCCCCCTTCCCCGCTTTCCAGGACTGTGGCCTCCGTCCACCATGAGAAACCAAGTCCAAACTCTTTACCACAGAAATGAGCAAAGGCCCAGAGGGTGACCTGTGTTGAAAGACACTGAGCAGGCCAGTGACAGAGCCAGACCTGGACAGCCTGTCTCCCAGAGCTCAGCTCAGGACCTCCTCCACCCTGGTCCCAGGCCCTTCTCTCCACCCCATTCTAAACCTCCACACCATAAACTTGGATTGGCTCCATGCTAGCCAGTGGGAATCCATGCTCCCAAAAGAAGGTATATGGAATTAGACTTGTAGGGAAGGGAATGTGGCTGTGTCCTGTGTCCTAGGTATCTGGCCCCTGCTAGCATGTGCTTCCTCTGGTTTGTGGAGCCTGTGCACAGGAGACCACCCTCAGGCTTGTGTAGACTGAATCTGCTTCACCCCTCCCCCATCTCTCCTGTGCCTGGACTGTGCTTATCACATGGTAGTTACATTTTTGCAAAGCACAAATGCATGTGTGCAGATTGCTGCAAAGTAAATAAGCATGCATATATGTTGGCATGTCCTAGGTCACTCCTGTCTCAGGGATCAACATGGAGGTATATGCTGGTGAATATGTACATATGAACATATGTGTACAAAAATATAGCATTATTGTATATATGATGCACATATGTATTGGCATTGAGTCTTCTCATGCATATGCCCACATGTGTGAGCAGTCATGATAAATTTAAGAATCCACTTGGGTGTGCATGTTGGCAGAAGTGAACACATACCCATGGATCACATGTGTGTGGAACACAGGCTCATTCCAGGGCCACCTCACCCACCTGCGAAGGTTGTTCAGCACCATGATGTTGGCATACATGTAGTACAGGTAGTAACTGTAGGGTGGGTTCTGCTCACTGGTCCAGAGGTCTGGACTGGGACTCTTGTCTGAGAACATGTGGTCACTGTGCTTGGACTCATCATCCACGCTGTCAAACCCTGTCACCTGTTTGGGAAGTAAGGATGCTGACATTGAGGATCATCCAGGACTCAGCTCAGCTCCAGGCAGAATTTAGGGGCTCTCACTTCTGTTGGGGACCCTGGGCCTCTGCAGTCTTATCCCTCAAAGGCCTAGAGATGGGGTACAGCACCCTAGTCTGTCCCTTAGGGATTCCCAATGGGTCCAGTGGCCAGCCTGGAGAATGCCCAGCCCCTATGTGGCACAATGAGGAAACTGAGGCTGGGCCAGATAAGGGTGAGTCCCAAGCTGCCAAATTTTCCCTTTGCCATGCCGAAGAGGCCAGTGCTGCAGGAACAGCCACTGCCAACAGCAGCAGTGACAGGTTGAGGTGGGAGGAACCTACTTGATATACTATGCACCACTCCCGTCCATCAAGTCCTGCTGGCCTTCCAACTCACCAGCTAGTTAGTACTTGAGTGTTACTGTGGGGGGGGGGGGGTGGTAACTGGAGCCTCATTTTATTGTTGAGCAAACCAGAACCAAAGTGAATTAGGAAGCTGTCCAAGGGGGATGACCAGGCTCTGGGCCCATATAGGCTCCAGGGCTTGTAGAATCTTAACTAAGCAAAGATGTGTTACATTTGTTTATGCTGCAGAATATTACTTTAACTGTGCAAAGGTGTGTTACTTTTGTTTATGCTGCATTTAATGATGTAAGGATGTGTGTTTAACAATGTAACGATATCTTGTATCTGTTTCACCTTGCCTGTTTAAGGCACCTGATTGGTCTAGTAAAGAGCTGAATGGCCAATAGCTAGGCAGGAGAAAGGAGGGCGGGGCTGCCAGGCAGAGGGAAGAAATCTCGGTTCAAGAGAAAGAGAAGAATGAAAGAAGGGGGAAAGAAAGAGGGACATGCCCGGGGCAGGAAGCCAGGCAGACGCCAGCCAACCAGAGAAGCAGTTGAGTAAGATGGACAGAAGTAAGAAAGGTAATAAGTCCCAAGGCAAAAGGTAGATAAAGAGAAACAGGTTAACTTAAGTTAAAAGAGCTAGCCAGAAATGTGCCTAAGCTAGGCCGAGCAGTCAAAACTAATAATAAGTCTCCGTGTCATGATTTGGGAGCTGGTTGGTGGCCCACAAGAAAAAGCCTGCTACCAGGGCTGGATTTGTGGCTTTAGGTAGAGGATTCCTTTGGGTTTGCCAGGTATGGCCGTGAGACACCAGCTGGATGCCTGACAGCAGACCAGGAGGCCCTGGCCAGGGACAGCCTCAGCCAGGCACCGCAGTGGCCCCAGAGGCGTCTCTGCTCTGCTGGAAAGGACCTGGGAAATCTTTTTTTTTTTTTTTTTTTTAAATCAGGTATCTCCAGCCTCCAGGCTAAGCACTGGTGATTCTTGCCTATGGCTGCCCTTCTCTACCGGGGACAGACAAAGCATCACCAGCAACCATGACCCTGAGAAGCAGCCTCCCCTCCTCTTTAGAAAGCTGCCTGGAGCTGGCAGCCCAGGCCTGGGATCCAGGAGCTGGGGATGGAAGCAGAGTGGGAGGAGGAGGAAGTCTGAAGTCTGGCCGGGCCCCTGTGGAGCAGGTGTGCCCTCCTCTGCCACACTGAGCTCACTAGAGGCCTCACACTTACGTATTTGAGGAAGAGGTGAAGCTCCCGGTGATCTTGGGGGTTGATGGTAGCCTTGAAAAGGGGCAGGAAAATGTTCTCCAGCATCCTCCCAAAGTTGGGCAGTAGTTTCTTTGACCTAAATATGTCACTGGGGAAATCAAAGGCTTGCTCGTTAGGACTTGATCTTCCAGGAGGGCCAGTTACTTTCTCAGCAGAGCAAACACCCAGTGTGGTGAGTGTTATGCAAACTCGCCACTTCCTGTGCCCATCAAACCAGAGGCTGCTTCCAGAGTGAAGGGGTGGGGTTCAGGCTGGGTGAGATCTGATAGAAGAGTCCTCAGATTTCCAGTGAACAGACTAAACCCCATGCCCAGCCCAGCTGGGGATGACAGAGGCACTCTGAGTGGCAGTCAGGTAGAGGTCAGCAATGCAGGACACTGCCGGGCATGCTGTGGCCCAGGCTCACCCAAATCCTCAATGAGAAGAAGGCAGGATGGTAGTCCCCCACCAAGGTCTTGCCATATATTCTTCAAAAGCAAGAGTGATGTGTGCTGAGAGCCAAGCAGCACCCCTGCCCTCCCCTCAATAGCATAGGAGCCGTGTAGGACAGGCTGGGGTCACCAGAGGACCCAGGGCAGACAAACAGTACTTACTAGATCCGGGGCACCTGGATGATCCAGCGCATGTTGGGTGAGTAGACCTTGTGTTGGATGAACCAGCGGGCCAGGCTGGACCACTCCTGGGGACTTCGGCCATAGATGGAGAGTCGTGGTTCTGAGTATTGGTATTTGCTGTCCTCCAGTTCCCGGGCCACCTCCTGGTACCAAAAAGAACTGAGTCAGTCCAAGAGACTCTCAGCCACATGAGAGACCCCAATCCCCAGGTGGGCCCTGAGATCCTTTAGCTACCTGCTCATGGGTGGGAGGGCTGATCTAAATCCCTGGTGCTGCCATGTAAGCACCCACTCCCCAGCCGAGGCTTCTCCTGGGAGGGAGGCCAGGGTGTAACACCGGCATGCTGTAGAAACAGGCCTGGCTGTAGAACCAGGCTGGGCAGCAGCCATGTCTCCACCTGGAGCCAGCCTGCGACCAGCCGAGTTCAGGCTGCAAACAGACAGGGGTGGCACCAGGATGCTCCGAGCTTCTCCCTTCTCTCCCCTTCCCTGCCCATGCTTGAGAGCAGGAGACCAGCACTGGCCTGTGCTGCGTGATAGAAGGGCCTTCAGGGAGAGGAAGGGACAGAGGTCATACACGCCCCTACTTTTTCACTCACCTTGACCATCCGAGCAAAGTACTCTCCTCCCAGGAAGTTTTCAGTCTTCAGATACAGGTCCCGAAGCTCACTGGCTCCCACGGGGTTGTACTTGGAGTTGAACTTGTCAAAGCGGTGGAACGTTTGCCGGCCCTGTAAGGAGGAAACACCAGCCAGCTCTACCACATGTCTCTGTAACTACCAAACATGTTTCTCCAGGCCGTTACAAGACAGCCAACTGGAAAATGTTGTCACCCCCATCTCTCTCTCTCCCTCCCTCCATCCCTCCCTCTCTTTCTTTTAGATAGAGTCGCACTATGTAGTGCAAGGTAGCTTCAAACTACAATCCTGCCTCATCCTCCAGAGTGCTAGGATTACAGGCATCTGTCACCATGCCCAGCTCTATGTTATTTCCTGCATGAAACCTAGGAAGTCCTGAATGCCAGGATCATGTCCCCTCAGTCAGCCATAGGACTCTTTGGACAGGACAGTGGCAGAGTATCAAGTGCCTGGAGGTCTGAAGAACTGGCGTACAGAGCATACAAGACCACTGAACAGTCAAAAATAACAAATTTAGCATCAGGGAAGGTGACTCAGCAGCTAATATGCTTACTGCACACACTATGGACCAGAGTTCGGATCCCCAGAAGCCCACATAAATGCCAGGTGGCTGTAGTGGCCCCACCTGTAATTCCAGGCTCAGAAGGCAGAGAGAGGGGATCCCCCAAGAGGCTGGCTAAGACTAGCCATGTCGATGAGCTCTAAGTTTGATTGAGAGACCCTGCTTCAAAGAACAAGGTGGAAGAGCAATCCAGGATGATTCCCAGCACCGACCTCAGGCCTCTACATACATGTACACACATGTGCCACACACATCACAGAAAATGGAATCAGAAAAAAGAAGTTTTTACTGTGCCTTTTTAGGTCTGAACAGTACTCACTGTGTGTATCGGTTACATTGTGTTACTTGTCTTTGATACTGTGCTGTTTTCTACATTTTGACTACTGAAGGTAACGCTGCTATGGACACCAGTTTGCAAGTGTCTGCTGATGTCCCAGTTTCCAAAGTTTTCAAGTGTATGAGTAGGAGTCAACAATACTGTGGGATTCTGCATTTTGAAGAACCATATGCTGTTTCCACAGCAACTGCACCATCAGCCAGCATTTTAACAACTTTGAAAATTAGCAAGGTTCATGATAGTCGTCACTTTATAAATCTTTTTTATTTTAATTTATTTTTTTATTTCTGTGCGTATGCCTGTTTGGCTGGATGTGTTCCAAGTGCATGCAGTGCCTGCAAAAGCCAGAAGAGGGCACTGGGGTTCCTGGAACCGTAGTTATAGGCAATAGTGAGCTATGGGTTCTGAGAACTGAATCCCTGTCTTCTGCAAGAGCAGTAAGTGCTCTTAATGGCCAGCTCTCCAGCCCCACAGTCGCCATTTTATAGACAAGAAAATAAAGGCTTAAGTGAGTCACCCACGGGCACAAGACTCCCAAGTGCGATTAGACCCTGGAACCATCTGACTTCACGCCGCCATAGTCTTCCTTCGACCCATGTTTGTTCCCGGCCCTGTTATTCAATAACACCAGATTCCTTCCACAGCCTCGACTACAAGGAGAGGAAGATGATTCCCTAGCCACCCACTGTCCAAGCACAGCTATGGCGACTTCTATGGGCAGAGCACCCCCTGCTGGAGATGCCAGGGCCGAAGTTCACTCACCGCATGGACGTCCAGCGAGTCCACGGTGAGGTCGTAGGGGTCCATGTGCAGGCTGTCGAACACCTGCCGTAGAGTGATCTTCCGACCTAGCTTCTCGGCCACAGTTCTGTCAGGCTCTGTCTGGTACGTGTGCTTGATAAAGCGCAGCAAGTGCTTCTGATTCATGCAGGCCGCTGCGTGAATGTGCGTGTCCACCTGGAACACATCCCCCACTGGCCAATGAGCGGGGTCCCCTCCCCTAGTGACCAAAGAACCGCAACCCTCAATGTGGAGCAGAGTCTTAGACTACATGGGCGATGTTGCCAGTGCCCACCATCCCCCTCCCCCAGGCCTCAGAGCTAATCTCCTTCCCTACAGCCCTGTCACCCAGCTTACCTCCAAAGAGCATTAAGATATTTTTGTTTTGGTTTATATTTTCCCTTCTTGACAAGTCCCCAAATGGCCCTCACATCCTCGGGGGGGGGGGGGGAAGCCCCAAACTTTATCCTGGAATCAAGGCTCCATGCAACCTTAATTCTCCCCTTCCCACCACCCCATCACATGTGGGTGTGGCTTCTCAGGCACCAAGCTACTCTGTGCTGCATCACACTGCCCATGCCCTTCCCCAGCCTGGCAGGTCATCTTCTTCCCACCACGTTCATCTGTTTCATTCTGCTTCCTCCACATGGAAGCCAATCCTGATGCCCTGGGCACAACTAATCCACTCTCTCCCTGGCCCAGCCTGGGCACTCAGTACAGCATCCACACTGATGGGCACATCCTCCTGACCCCTCTCCTATGTTTCTATCTACCTGGGAGCTCCTCAAGGATGGGGACCAGGTCCACTGCATCCAAGTCCTACCCCAAGGATTGGTCCAAAGTACCAGGTGAATCATGGTGGATGAATAAACCCACGGTGCCATCAGTTCCAATGGTTTCATAAAACCATTGAAACTCTACTCTTCCCACTGACTTATCTGGGAATCCCAAAGAAATCTCCCTAATAGAGGTAAAAGGATGGCCACCGTACCTTTCTCTGTCAATTCTACCTCACCCCAACCAAGGAATTCCAAGCCCCATACAGCAACAGATGTCCTGACTCTAAGCCAACGTGTGGACTCAGACCTCAGAGCCAATTCTAACTCACAGACAGGAACCTAGAGGTTGGGTCCTCCTGCACTTGGTAGAAACAGATTCCTCAAAGGAGGCGACAGCAAGGAGCCCAGTGGGATCTCAGCATCCTTGTAGAATGTCTCAGGTCAGGCTGGGCGTTGGTGGCGCACGCCTTTAATCCCAGCACTCGGGAGGCAGAGCCAGGCGGATCTCTGTGAGTTCGAGGCCAGCCTGGGCTACCAAGTGAGTCCCAGGAAAGGCGCAAAGCTACACAGAGAAACCCTGTCTCGAAAAAACCAAAAAAAAAAAAGAATGTCTCAGGTCTTCCACAGCATGCTAAACTCCCGGGACAGCAAGCTGTCCCTTTACCTCTGGCCTCTCCTTGGTCTCCTGTGACAGCTCATCCTCACCCTAGACCTAGGACACTTGTGTCTTTAAAGATTATTTTTATGTATGTGTATGTGATTGTGCTCCAATGTGTATGAAAGAAGGGGAGAGGAGAGAGAGAGGAGGCCTAGGGAGAAGGGGGTACTGAGAGAGGGGGGGCCTGGCAGGAGGGTGCTGAAGAGGGCATTAGATCCCCTGGAGATGAAATTATACATAGTTGTGAGCTGCCTTCCATGAATTCTGGGAACTGAACTTCAGTCCTCTGCAAGAACACCAAGAGCCATAACCACCGACCATCTCCCTAGGCCCATCTGTGCCTTTAACTTTTCTCTTTACACTAACAACTCCCAAATGTGGACCATCAGCTGAAAGTTCCAGAGCTAACTAGTTGCCTGTCTGACATCTCTATTTGAGGAACTCAAATGTAATGTACCCCCAAAATTGTACTCTCCATCTCAGACCGCAGCCCAAACCTGACCATCTCCCAGGCCTTCGTGTCTGAGAAATGGCACATTCTGAACTCAGAGGTTCACCATGAAAAAATGGGGGATGCTCAGTCTGTCCATCCCCTTCTCCGGGTACCAGCCAGTCCCATCAGTTCTACCTTCCAAACAGATGTGCTCAACCTCACAGTCACCAGAACTCTCTTTCCTGGTCCTTGCAACTTCTCCTCTTGTTCTCTATCAACTCTGCCAACCCCGTACACACAAACTGGAGCTGACTTTTTCTTTAAACACTGTCATTAATCTTAGGGTGAGGGCTGTGGTGGTTTGAATGTAATTGGCCCCCATAAGCTCACAGGGAGTGGCACTATTAGGAGGTGTGGCTTTGTTGGAGTAGGTATTGCCTTGTTGGAAAAAGTGTGTCACTGTGGGGGTGGGCTTTGAGGTCTCATATATGCTCAATCCACGCCCAGTGTCTTGGTTTACTTCCTGTTGCCTGAAGATCAAAGATGTAGAACTCTCAGCTCCTTCTCCAGCACCATGTCTGCCTGCACACTGCTATGTCCCACCATTATGATAATGGGCTGAACCTCTGAAACTACAAGCTACCCAATTAAATGGTTTCCTTTATAAGAGTTGCCATGGTCATGGTGTCTCTTCACAGCTATAGAAACCCTAACTAAGACAAGGGCACCCCTAAAATTCCAATTGCCCTATCGCCTCTATCGCTTCTTTTTACTATGTTCCATCTATCAGGCTAAGGGAAGAGGTAACTAAGTCTCATCGGCATGCTGGGTCACCTTGCGTGAGCTCAAGAAGACCAAGAGGTGCTCCCAGGCACCAGCCTGTACCCTGGAGCCGCAGCTGACTGGGCTCTCTGCCAAGGCTGGGGTGAGGAGGCACTGACCTCAAGCCAGGAAATGCTGTCCACAGCTGGTTGGTCATCTGTAAGGCATGCCAATCAGACATTTGATCTACTGGACCTCTGTGTACATTATCCCAGCCAGCCCATGGTGTTGGACACATCGCTCACTCATCAGGGTCCTTCCTACTATCAGTTTCTGACACTCCTCCAAGAGAGACAGAAACAACTCAAAGCTGTGAAACCGGAAGCATCACACAGAGCAGGGCTGAGGCTCCAGCACTTCAGAGCTGAGACTAAACAAGATCAGCCTGGCTTTGCTCAGTGCAGCGTGGCCTAACTACTATCTCAGCTTGACTCCACACATTCTTCTTCGATTTTAGCTATGTACTCCAGTTTCCCAGCCATACACACTGCCTGCTGTGGTTCCCATGAGTCACAGGATAGAGAATGAAAACAGCTGGACCATCCAGCAGTCACCCAGTCCAAGTTTCAGAATCTCAAAGGTGACTCTATTAGGAATAAGTAAAAAAGGTCTTTATTGGAGATTAGTGTCTTCCATTCACCAGAAAAATCTACATGAATACTCTATGGTCACATGAGATCCAGGTTCACACAAACAGTAACATTTCAACACAGGACTGGTTGATATCAGGGACCTGAGCTAACAATGGCTATTCCCACAACCATGCAGACATGAGTAATCAATAACACTTTTTTCTTTAAGCTTGAATAGCTTCAGGGAGCCGATCCCCACTGGTCAGGCTTGGCCCAGATGATACCTATGGTGTCCCTGATGTGACACTTTAACCAAAGTGGACAATGCCCATTTGCATCTAATACCCAACCTGCAAGTAGCAAACACAGTCCCTCTTTCTAAGCACTGGGCAGAAAACATGTGTCTCAGTTACAGGGTCCTTCCAGTTGGGGCTCACAGTGTCATAACTCATTCCTACCACCCACACAGACACATGCCATGCCCCAGGCTCCTGCCTTCAGAGCCTGGTCCTGGACCTGACAGCCACCACAGAAATAGGATGCCCTTCCCAATAACTGTGGATTTTAAAAATCCCAGTCTTGTCCCTAGGACACAGGTTCTGAGGAGGGTAATAAAGCATCCAGCACCCAGCAGGCCAGCTCTCCCACCCTGGAGGAACAAGCACAGGCCTAACTCAGCAGCTTTGGACTCATGTTTATGAACTAACCAAGGTGCCCCAAACCAGACTGTTGTGTCATAGAGCAGGATCAACCCCAGACTGCCAGGGAACCCCAAGAATATCTCTGTGCTCCCCCGACAGTCTCATACCAAGACACTCTCCCACATCATGGCCAAGGAGCAGCCCAGGGATAGTGAAGGGTAGTCCAGGGATGGCTACAGAACCATATCAGAAGCACAGTCAGCTAGGCCGCCCTGGCCCCAAGCATCAGGAGACAGGCCCAGAGCACTCACACCTGCGGAGGGCAGCCTGTGCTGGACTTGGTGAGGTGTTTCACTGGCCTGCCAGGTATGTGCCGAGTTCTTAGAGTAACTGAGGCACCACCTGACTGAACACAGTGGCTATTGTGTCTAGGTACGTGGTCTAACCATGACCTTTCACCTCTGCCCCAGCATCCATGATAGAAGCCTGTCTTAACCCATGAGGCTTATTCTCACTTCTGAAGCCTCTTGGTCCACTCTGAGACTTCTGGTATTCTTAAGAAGCCCATCGGCTTCCATAGTTCAGAACCTTCCCACCGGGCTGTCACCTAAGTTCCAGCCCCACCTGCTTGCCCTCTCTCCTTCCTCTCCTCCCTCCTGACATCTGCTGGCATGTGCTGCTCCCTCCACAGGAATGCCACTGTCACTGCTCAGCTCTGACCTTTCCTTGAAAGCCACTTCCCACCCCATCACAGCACTTGTCTCTGGGACCTCTTATCAGCAGGAAGTGACTTGCTCTCCATCCGCCATGCTCAACACGTCTCAGTGGGTCTTACTTACCTGGAAGAAAGTGTAAAGTCTCCAGGCCAGGATCCTTCACACACACACACACACACACACACACACACACACACACACACACACACACACGCGCACCTGTCCTTGCTGCCACCTCTGTAGGCAGAAGGTGCCAGAGACACTCAGCCATTCCATAGGTAGAAGAGGGGCAGAGACAGGAGCAGCTCCGTGACTCACTTTAACCCGCCACCTCCTAGTCCAAAGACATCCTGACAGCTTTTCCTCCGTGATGACTCTAACACATCCACTTCCCTAAAAACACCAGTGCTTAACTGTTCGGACCAGTCAGCAGGCTATGTTCCGATGCTGGAGAAAGAGCCGCGCACCAGCAGAGGCATCCCACCACAGATCTAGAGTGGTACCGTGCTATCTGAAGACCCAGCTCGCCAGTCTTCCTTCTGCACATGCACATCTCATCATACCAGGCTCCTCTGGCCAAGAAACCTGACCAGCCAGGAGACCTGATGCTCACCCAGCTCTGGCCCTAAACAGACCCAGGTGAGTAGCTTGAACACTGGCCGTGACGTACCTTTCTCACATTATAGAAGTCTCTGTGGGGGTTACTCTTCAATTCCTTGAACTCTGACATCTCGTTTAACATCTCATGAAGGCTGAACTTGGATTCCAGAAAGTTCAGTCGCCGATGACAATAGGTTTTTCTACAAGTTGGTGAGAGATAGAGACCACAGTAAGAAGTCGCATCCAACAGCGGTTTAGCAACGTCCAGAGAGAGTAGTGACCCCTGGGTGGAAGTAGTGGACCCCTGATAGGATGGAGGAGGAAGAACGGAGATGCTTCCAGCTTCCCTCAGTCCTGGCCTGCACGCGTGTGCCATCATGCCTGTGAGGGGACAGTTAAGACACAGGGACGGGGGGCTGGAGAGATGGCTCAGAGGTTGAGAGCACTGGCTGCTATTCCAGAGGTCCTGAGTTTAATTCCCAGCAACCACATGGTGACTCACAACCACCTGTAATGAAATCTGGTACCATCCTCTGGCCTGCAAGGACACATGCAGACAGAACACTGTATACATAATGAATAAATCTTTAAAAAAAAAAAAAAAGACACAGGGACGGAAAGCCCCAACTCTGGGACCCCGTGCAGGTTTTTGTTGTCTTATGTGTTTGGACAGTTAGCATAGGAATAAGCATCCTGGTGCATGACTGTGGAGATGGTAGCACCCCAGACTGAAGTGCATGTAATAAGGCCAGTGTCTGACTGAGCAGCCCTCCTACTGTCTCCTCACCTCTCCTCAGCCACCCGAATCCTTTAAAGATAAAATTCATTGTCCGGAATATCAATAAAGCAGTTAAACTATTTGTACAGCCCAGCTACCTTGGAATGCAGAGGCACCAGCCATCCACCCATGACCAACAGTCAGTCCCTAGATCCCAAGACCTGAGGGCTCCTCAACTCTGAGACTCCTGCAGGAAGAGGACATTTTCAGTGAGGGGCAGGTGAGGGACACTGGGAGAGCTTTCCTTGGCCAGCAAAGGTGAGCATCGCTGCTACAGATGTCTCCCACACCCAGCTAAGCTGCCCAACCACACAGAATTGACCACAGTTCATGCCATCCTGCTTCCTCAGCATTCCCAAACAGCAGCTGCCTTCTTATCTAGTCCCCTAGGCCTCCACAAAGAGCAGCTTCTTGGAGCTAGAGAGGGCTCAGTGGTTAAGAGCACATATTGTCCTTGCAGAAGACCTGAGTTTGATTCCAAGTATGCAAAACCCAACTGCCTGTAACGCCAGCTCCAGGGGACACGGCTGCTTCTGAGCTCCTCATATGCAGATATACACATATACATATAATAAGTGGCAATAATAACATTTTTAATGCCACCCCACAGCAGTGTCATTGGCTACTGCAGAGACAAGCCCGGGGGTGAGCACAGGGGTCTCAGGGTAGGAAAGGAAGGTTAATGGCACTCTGTCCAGTGTTTGTCCCAAGAAGGACTCTCCTTGACAACTTCGCAGACAAGAGTCACTGCTCACACTGCGGCCAAGGAAGGCTTCCCAGAAGCTGTCCCTTCCTCTCCGGGTCTTAGTTCCGGCGCCTGATCAGGGAGGGCCAAGAGCTAGCTGGCCACCCTCCCCAGGCCTACTCTTTTTTTTTTTCTCAGAGACTACACCCCTCATAGCAAACCCCAGAAGGCAGGAGGATTGAGAGAGGCGGTACACGGCACTGTGGCGACCCTTCACTTTCCCAGACTCCTTCACCATTGGTTAGTTCATATCCCTGCCAGGAAGAGAGCCACTTGCCCTGTCAGCTCCAGCCAAGCCCTGGAGCATGGGTGGGGACACAAAGGGCCCCAGGCTCCCTGCATGCTACTTTCAAAAACACAGAAAGCCCAAGAGCTGAAGAGTGAGTCTTCATTGCTCCCTCCAGGCTCACCCATGCCCCGGGCTGGCAGCTCTCTGTGTGTTTCCTGGCCTGAGGAGAGGGTGACAGCTGATGTAAGGTACACAAGTAGCCACTGCACACAGAAGCTCCCGCACATATGTGTGCAGCGGGGACCAGCAGTAACAACTCTAAGCCTGTACCATCCCCAAAAGGAAAATCCAGGACGGTTTGCATGCATCAAAGCCTGCCGCTCTTTCCCACAGCACCCACACAGTGAAAGGGGGAGTCGGGGTGACTGGCTTACGTGGGGCCATCGGTGATGAGCGCCAGAATATGGCTCATGTCCACGATGTAGGTTTCCAGGTCAGGGTAGGGCAGGCTGTGGGGCTCCTGGCGTTCCAGCATCGTCTGGTTGTCATATACAAAAAGAATGCCTCCCTGCATGCGGACCAGATAGCCCAGGTTGGGGGGCGCATCATCCAGGCAATAAGGGTCTTCTTGGGGCAGTGGGGGAGGGTGGAAGTCTGCAAAACAGGATGAGTGGTGGCCAAGTGACACTTGTGCAGTCTGTCAGCTTCCCGGGTTTGTTTGTCTGTATAACCCTCAGCACTGCGTGGAATAATTGTTCTTCACACCTTGGGTATCAGAAGATGCACTGATTTGTGTTGTTAGCTGCTATAGTCCAGTCTCTAGGGGCAACCCTATCCCGAGGCTGGCACATCAGTGTGTGTGTGTGTGTGTGTGTGTGTGTGGTGTGTGTGTGTGCACGCGAGTGCATGTGTGTGTGGTGTGTGCGCACGCACGCGCGCGCGTGTGTGTGTGTGTGTGTGTGTGTGTGTGTGTGTGTGTGTGTGTGTGCATGTGTTCATAAGTGTATGTTTAGCTTAATTAAAATGGACTTCACCTTCTTCGGCTTCCTTGGCTCCCAGGAATGTTTGTTTTATTTTATTTTGAGTTTTTAGAACAGAGTGGCTGAGTGTTCTCCCAGTGAGAGAATGGGCAACATTGGGAATGTCTGAGGGGAATAATTGCCCCCTCCTCCCACATTTTTTTTTCTGAGCCCAAGGCAGACAAGGAATTAGACAGAAGCCACCCTGTCCCCCAAAAGAGCAAAAGGAGCAGCGACCAGACCCTTGCCTCCATCCACCCCCCCACACACCCCACCCTCCTACCCACCCCATTCCCCGCATCCCCAGGAACTGCCCAGGGTGGAGTTGCTTGCCAGCAGGGAACTGGGTTGAGTCAGCCCAACCCAAGCAGTAAAACACCTCCACTATTTCCTGGTTGTGAGACTCAGAAAACCCCTTTGCCTCTCAGATCTGACTCTTCGCCTGAGACACCCCTTACCCAGCAGGCTGCTGTGAGGGCTGTATAAAAGCGTGGGTAGGGAGATCCTTTATAAGCAGGTGTGCCCATAGGGCCTTGCTTCCAATGGCTCGATTTAATGGTTTTTCTTTTGACTTTAGGATTGTGCAGAAGTGTGTCTGTCAGCCAGCATAATACTCAATGAGTTACATGGGATATTCAGCACTTTGTTACTAAGCAGTTGATGATTTTGCCCTGCTGAAGGCTCACAGAAAGATTCTGAGCATGGTTAGCATAGGTTGGATGTATTAAATGCTTTTTCATCTTAGGACATTTTCCGCTTCCAATTGGTTTTCTGGGAACACAATCATCAGCTGTCGAGAGCATCTGCGTTATTAGTCTCTGAGTTCTGGGGCTCCTAATCAGCTGTCTCCGGCCAGGGAATAAACACAGCAAGTCAGCCAGCACCTTTGCAGGCCGGCTGCCTGCCAGGCAGGAGGAACCTTGGCTCCTGATTGGAAGAAGCACTCGGGGTCCAGGGCAGGGTGTCCTGCCTCAGACTCTGGAACAGGCTGACCCTGAGCTGTGATGGCCACAGAGAAAGCAGAACACAGCAGAGCAGGATGCTAATGACCCATCAGACACAGCAGGAGGCCAGCCCAAGAACCTCTAGATAGTGCTAGTATTGTGTAAGGTGCAAGAGAGTAGGAAAGGCCTGTGTGAAGCCACAGCCCGTCCACCCAGAGACTGTGCCACCTTACCACACTCAAGCCCACGACACAAGGGCCTTCTGCCATACAAAGCACACATCTGACAGTCATTCCCGCCTGGCCCCTCCAATACTGGGGTCCTGTCCCTCAGACAGACAAGGAAATAGCCCTGGGAAGGCTGAGATTTACCCAGGCCCCTCCCTGGTGGTAATGGATACTCAGCACAGACTGGGCCAGAAACAGAGACAACCTAGCACCCGTTACCCCAAGGTGGCCAGGGTTCTGGCCTGGATGCAATCCCCAGCTCCTCTTCTGATCCCCATCCTTGGATTTCAAGGGTGACGGTCCCCATGCCCTTGTTTTAGTGACTTCATTTCCAGCCTCTGCTGCTCCTGGGTCCCTCACTACATCAGGAAGTGTCCTTTCTCATCCCCCTTCCCTAAATTTGTAGCATAAATGTGACTGCCATTTATGGAACATTCTAGATGCCAGATCTGTACTAAGCACTCCACACACACATTCACACAGCCTTACCCAGGGAGACAGCTTTTGCTGGCATTCCCTTTTTCAGACCGCAAAACTGAAATTTAGGGATGCAGTTTGCTCAAGGTCCAAGAAATTGGCAAGATCCGGATACGAATACAAGTGTGTTTCACTTCACAGTCTGCTTGCTCTGCCCAGGGCACATGGGCACTGTATCTAATCCCACACAACCCATCCTGCGCTGCCATTTGATTGTACTGTTTCAAACACATCAAGAGTCCCACCAAAAAAAACACCACTGGTAGAAAAATACGCAGCCAACAAAAAGCCCCAACCAACTCCTGAGTCAGGCCCACACATCGGATCCCACTTGCTCCCAAGAATCCATACCTGGGAGACCCTCTTCCAAAGGTGCACTTTCCCCCTGATGAGCCAGGTACTGGGCTGTGGTCCGTGGGAAACGGTGGTAGGCAAGCCGTGCATACTTCTCCCTGATCATCAGGGCCTTGGCCAGACTCTTGGCAGCCTGTTCATAGTCTTCTACAGTGATCTGCAGCAAGAAGGCATGCAAGAGAGGGTCTGCCCACAAGCCAGAGACAGCTGTGCTTGGAGAGGCCCTGTGCGAGCCTGGCCCCCATGAACCTGGATTTCAGGACAGTTCCCATCTGACTGATAAGAGGGGCTCACTGGGTGTGATCTGTTTACACAAACACTAGGATTTATGCTGGGTACCTGAGTTCCTTCCAAGAGTCTGGAACTGAGGATGTGCTATGCAGATGTGTGAGGAAAACCAAGTCTCTAATGAGCTTCCCTGATGGACACTAGGTGTTGGTGCCTCACTGGGAGGGACCCACTGGATATCCCCCAGACCTCACCCTGCATGTCCCTCTCCTTTGCTGACTTGCTCTATGTCCTTTTTGTAATAAATCAAGACTGGAAGTACAGCCAGGTTCTGCATTCTGAGACCCTGACACAGGAGACACAGGAAGAGAGATAGGGCTGCTAGAAGGGAGATGGGTATTCAGCCTGCACACCCCAGACTGATCCAAGGATCCTGATTGAACCAGAAACCTGTGACTGCACCCAGCATACAGAGCCTGGGGCCTGTCCCTGGTAAGGATAACCACCATCATTTTCCGCTGAGAAACTCCATGAATCCCCAGATGCTAAAAGCAAAACATCTATGTTCTCAGGCTGCTGCTCTGCCAACCCTGAGCTGTCAGTCAATCTGGCAACCACCTGACTCATCAGGTCAGCGGGGCTCTTAGTCACATTTTAGCACTAGATGTTCCATAGGTTTCATTTTGTTTCTTAACTGGGGAAACTAGGCCCAGAAAGGATCCATCACTGCCAGGAGATTACAAAGTCCAACTTCAGACCCTGATCTGACTGATCCACAAAGCCCCAGGATGCTCTCCTCACACTCAGAGACCTGTGAGATCTCTGGTCGCCTTCCCAGCCTCCATCACCCTAGTCACTCAGTGAGGATGAATGTCACCAAGGTCTGTATTTGCTTGATGAGATGCAGATGGACAGGCATGACAGGAGGGAGGGGACACCAACGGCGAGGTGCAGGAAGCTGGAGGAGCAGACTGAGGAAAGCTGGGCCTGGAATTTTCCTCCTCTGCCTCGTAGCATCATTGGTTTGACTGAAATGTTGTGAATCTACAGATATCTGTGCACCTGTCTTCCAAGACCCTGATATTCACATTTCTCCTAATTGCTTCAGATGCCCTTCGGGTAGATAAATAAAGTACCATGGGTACAAACCCTCCGGTCTCCCTTGTCCTACTCTGTCACCAGAGAGAAGCAGTCAACATACGTTTTTCTCATTCATTTCCCCAAATCTGACTCCTTGCTTTCTAAAGTGGAAGCAACTCCCTTTCTGTCTCAAATCCCCACACAAGGGTGTGTTCATTCCTCTCTGCACCTTCCAGGGGACTGGCCTCAGAGCAGCCACAGGGACAGGACAGCAGACACATGCTAAGACAAAGCCATGTCCCCACCCACAGAAAAACCAAAGGACTCTGCCTGACAAGGGCCTCAGGAGGTAACCAAGGAGCTCAGAGAAAGGGCAGGGTCCCCGGGAAGGAGCAGCCATTAGCCAAGCTTGTGGGCCCCGCAGGCCCAGTGGCTAGCCCCAGGCCTTCTGGGTACCAGGCTCAGCAAGGTCAGTGAGCCTCTCTAGACATGCACAGAGGGAAGGAAGAAGGGAGGTAACCGTGCAAGCTCACATGTTTCATTCAGCATGCATGCAGCCCACTTCTATCCTCTGCCCACATGCGTGAGGTGGACACCAAGCCCTGGCCAGGAGGCTAAAGCTGAAAGCCAGGAGCTGGCAGAGCAGCAGCCTGGCCACAAAAGAACTGCATTAGTTCCCATCTGCATGCCCATCTCCAGGAAGTCAATATGCATGTGGTACAACCACACAATGAAATGCTATGCACTCCTAAAGAAGAACAAGGGAGTTCTTTCATAAATTAATATAGAATCATCTCTAAGGGGATTGTTGAATAGAAAAAGTTTATTCATTTTCTCATCAAACGCCTCTCTTGCTGGTTGAGGGATTTCTAGCCTATATTTAAAGATTTGACCTAAGCTTGTAAGAGCTAATTTTACACCAGTCAATACCATCACACAGTCTCCATGGACATCGGGAATGTTGAGGAATGTTGGTACCCTTCTCAGAGGGCAGATTTCTGGGCTGGGGAACACACAGAACTGACTGAGCACAGCCACAGCCACAGCATGCCAGCCTGAAGCCTTTGGTCTTGCACACCAAGATGGGGCAGCTCCTGAGACATGCCCACACCCCAGAGTCTCCACTAGGGGCCCTCTTCCACCACCTCCCAGACACACACACTGGGCCAGCCTTCAAGGGTGGGTATGACCTTACCCCCGCACAGTAATCTCCACTGATAGTGACCCGCTGATACTCGGGCATGGCATAGGGTGCTGGCCCAGGCTTGGAAGTGGCTCCGGGGACCAGAGGGGTTACAGGAGACACGGCCGGACTGACAGTTGGAGGGCCCTTCCAGTCTTGTTGTGTTGGCATCTGCAGGGACAGAGACTGCGACCGGATCATCTTGAAACTCTTCTTTCTAAGAGCCAAGAACAAGGGACAGGGGAGACATCAGCTGCTGACAGGGAGAGTCTCAGGAGGCAGAAAATGCCGCTGCCGTCAACCGCTGGTGCTGGGTACCATTAAGAAGCTTCTGGTGGGCTAGGGAGATGCTCAGTGATAAAGCACTTGCTGCACAAGCACGAGGACATCACTGCGGGCGTGGGTGACCCAGCACAAGTGGACCCCGGAGCCGGGGGGCGGGACATCTCTCTGGTCAGTCAATTTAGTTGAAACAGAGAGCTTCAGGTTTGGTGAAGAGACTGTCTCAAAAACTAAGGTGGAGCTCAACAGAGGCCAACATCGACCTCTGGCCTCCACTCCCGCACCTGCACACACACAAGGTTCTGGTTGCTTATGACTTCCTCGATCCAGCCTTCCAGACACTGTGCCTATGGTCATGCCTCACTGCTGTGGGTGGAGTTTTGGGGACTCACGGCACATAACACTGGGTCAATGCGACAGGGAACAGACAGACAGACAGACACAGACCACACTACAGGGGCTCCACTACCACAGTGCATGGACATGGAGGTGACACTGGGTCAGAGAGGCATTCCCCATGGTGTGGGCAGCACACTCTCTTCAAATAAGCCGAACCCTAAGCCCTGACAAAGGAAATCTCCAGGAAGATTATGGACAGGGACACAAAGACACAACATTGTATTTTAGTTACAAATCTGGACACAGGAACCAGAAGGGATGGGAGTAATCAATCTGTCAACCTCCTTGGTTAGAGACAGAGCGGCCTTACACAAACTCACACAGCATGGCAGCTGCTTTCTCCAGCCATTAGGCAGCTTCTCCTTCCTCAAGCCTGGCGTTTGCCGCCCTGGCAGCAGCTGGAGCTGGTACAGATCTGCATGTGTCTCTGCTATAGGAGAGGAATTGACCAGCACCAGTGTGAGGCCTGGACCCTAGACCTCTAGTTCCGGCACCGAAAGACAAATCCTCAAGGCTGGTTTAAAATGCTGCAAGTTCATGGTAAGTCTGATTTGTGATGACTTCCTTTGTTAACAAAATCAAAAATGTTTCAGTTGACATCACTCCAAGGCCTGGGATCCTCAGGAAGGAATTACTCAGCACTGGGATAATGCCAGCAGCAGCAGCTGGACTCACCCTCTGAAACCGTAAGCAAGTCCCCAATTAAACGATTTCTTCTGTAAGTTGTCTTGGTCATGGTGTCTCTTCACAGCAGTAGAAAAGTAACTAAGACATCCCTGGTGACACTGGGCGTGGTAAATCAGTCCATCCCAAGTGGGCCCATGCTCACCCAGAAGCAGTCAGCTTCCAGCTGGCATTGTCCAGGTCTCCTCCCTGCCCAACCTTCCAGAACCCAGTTCACCCTTCCTGCTTGCCACGGGCCTCTCTGGCTCTCACTTGTCTACCCTAAGGACCTGTATTCCCGCCTCCCTGAGACAAGGCTGCTTACAACTGAGAGATGGAACTTGCCCCTTCTCAGGAGGTACCTTCCCGGGGCTCTCATGGCTGACAAACCAGGCTGCCTCAGGAACCTCAACCAGAAACTCTGGAAACCCCACCCCAGGTTTCCCCTGGCCTGCTGTCCTTCATCTGGAACTTAGCCAACACCCTGCACCAAGGAGGACAGATGCCAGTGTGGGCCAGTCAGCCAGTCCTGGCTGTTAGATGCACCCTAAGCACAGAGGTTCCCCTAAGGACATCGTTTGGACATCTTGACTCGACTCAGCTCATCCCATGAGACTCCAGTTTCCGTGTCACACCCATGCCTGCCAATCACTGTTTCATCTGCACACCAACATTATCCCCTTATGCCTCAGTCTAGCCTGGGGTCTAGCCCAACCAAGAAGAAGCAATGGGTAACTTCTCAGGTGAGCAACAGGTAAGAAAGGTTAAAAAAAAAAATCTGGAAGACTGCCTAAGTCAAGAATCTATTAGTCTTCTTCTATGAATGCCCCAAAAGGAATGAATATATCTGTTCCATTGAGGAAGCCGGTACCCACCAGCTGGTACCCAGAGAACTCTCCTCTTGCCCATATTCACTGTGGCTCTAGCCAGACCATCGCACAAGGGTGGGGATATGGCTCAGTTGGTAGGGTGCTTTCCTAGAATTCATTAAAGTCCTGAGTTTGATCCCCACTACCACATAAATCAGGCATGATCACACACACACACACACACACACACACACACACACACACACACACACCTGTAATCGAAACAATCAGTGGGTAGAGATAGAACGATCAGAATTAAAGGACATCGTGTGATATTCAGAGAGTTCAAGGACAGCCTGGGCTACATGAGACAGACTGTCATACAAAAACATTCACAGCCTGAGAGCTCACATTTAAAAGTCCAAGGGTAGTTTAAAATGGCTGGGTCACCTCTTCAGGGCTACCATCCTGGAGAGGGGCAGGGTGGGGGATGGAGTCACCATCAGCTAATCACTGAGTTGGCATCTGGAAGCAGAAATTAAATTGTCTATTGCTGTGTAACAAATCACCACAGACTTGGTGACTTGAACCAATGCCTACTTGTGACTCCCCAGTTCTGCTGGTGAGAAGGTCAGCTGGGATTGGCAGAGCTCCAAGCTTGGGCCATCCAAAGGCCAAAACAGACATCGGCTGCACTGAGCTCTCCGGAAAGAATTCTCTTCTAAGATCAGCCAGATTGTTGGCAGAATTCAGTTCTGCATGACTGTGAAGACTGAGATCCCCAGTTCCCTGGTGACTTGGCCAGAGGTCACCTTGGCCCCTACAGACAGCACTCTGATCCTTGAGGAGGGCCCTCTGTCTTCAGTCAAGAAACTCCTGAGTGTTCTGTGTTCCCAGTCTCTCTGACTTCCCCCTCTGTTCTTAGCCTGGACAAGTGTTGTTTTGACAGCCTTTGTAATTAGATCTGGTCCACTGACAACCTCCCTCCCCACCTTAATGTCAGGTGACACCTTTCCTGCAGGGTAATCACAAGAGTGACAGCTTATACACACAGAGTCTGGAGATCAGAGCACAGCATCTTGGCAGAGAGAGACGTTTAAAAAATTCTGCCTATGGGGTATGGAGAGATGGCCCAAGGGTAGAGTGACTGCCACACAATCATGAAGACCTGAGTTCAGATCCCAGAACCCTCATACAATCTGGGAGTTGGTGACACATGCCTGTCCCAGCCCTGGAAGGCAGAAACAGGAGAATTCTGAGGGTTTGCAGGCCAACTGGTGAGTCTAGATGGAATGGCTACCTTTAGGGTCAGTGATAGTGTCTAAAAGAAATAAGGCAGAGAGCCACAGAGAAAGACATCTGACAAAGACCTCTGGCCTCTACATGTGTGTGTGCGCGCGCACACACACACACACACACACACACACACACACACACACACACACACAAGATTAATCAATTGATTGATTAGTTCTGCCTACAGTAGACCATAGACTAGTATACTAGTATGCAGACGTGTGCATATGTGGGTGTGTGCACATATACCATACACAAACTCTTTCCCTCACAAGGCTGTATGAGCCCTGCAGGTGTCACAATAATAAAAAGTCACCCAGAAGTACCAGAAGCTTCAGCAGACTTAGAGAACCAGAAGGCCTCTGGCCGGAAGACCTGACAGACTTATGCGCCCAGCCCTACATTCCTGAGTGAAGCATCATTTAGTAAACATTTACCAAACACCTGTCCCTGGCCAGGCCAGCACAAACACTCACGGAGTCGAACAAAGTGTGACCTGTTGCCACTGATATAAAACACTTCGTCACCAGGGACTCAACCGTCTGTCCACAGCCCACCTGTCACACCTTGTGCTAGCCTCTAGGACACCAGGGTTAGCCAGCTCACTCTGGCACAGCTGGCCTGTTCCATCTTCCTCCAACCACCCGGCAGAATTCGCCTGCTTGCCAAGGCGCTGGCAGGGTTTGCCACTGTGAAGGCACCAATTCCATACCGAGCCTGAGGCCTGGGCTTGGCAGCAGCTTCATCTTCACGGGCCACAGGGAGCTTCTTACAATAAGGTAAGCTGGTGTGTTCTCTCCTGGTACCAGTCCAGTGTCCCCACCTACGCTACAGCCCTTCCTTGGCTATCCCTGCCGTCCACCATGTTCCCACTCCTACTCGGCCCGTTCCCCCAAAGCCTTCCATAACATCTGATTCACATCCAAGTCCAGAGGTTAGCATGGAGGGTCTTCTCAGAGCCTCCTGAAGCCTCTGCTCTTGTGTGTCTGTCCAAGGCCCGCTAGGGAAGCAGAAGAGCCAAAACAAGACTCTCCCCCAAGCTCTCAGAAATGCACAGTGAAGCAAGGGGCCACTTGTGACCCCACTTTATAAACCTCTGAGGGCCAGGTCCTGGGTAATGACAGGTACATCAAATATAGCCCCAGATTCCACAGGCTCACTAGGATCACAGAGATGGGCCGGAAAGTTGGACAGATGTTGAACATGCAATGTGGTCATGTCATGGGGTATTTTGGGATCCCAGAGGAGACACCTAATCCAGACTGGGCATGGGAACAATGGAGCAACAGGGGCAGAGGGGGGTGGCTCTTCAGAATGGCAGGTTTTGGGGGTTCATCCCGCAGCATACTAGTTCATCCCAGTGGTCCCTCCACTCCAGATGAAAAGCAAGACTAAAGCTGGAGGCAGCAACCAGCAAAGAATGGTTAATAGCAAGCACGCTGTGCTCGCCAGGGCGTGGGCCAGGTCTCTGCACTTCCACAGACTCGGCTGCTCTGGTGGCTTATCGTGGTTACCGAACTGCTCCACATGGAAATGAGACCCCTGTGTAAGGAGAGGAGCCGCTGAAGAGCTGGCACATGCTGTCCACCTGACACCAGAGATCCCAGCCTACGTGGGGAGGACATGGAAACAGCTGGCGATGGGGCACCCTGCGTGCTAACTGCCCTGAGGCGTGCCTACAGACAATGTGTAGGGAACAGGGGCGGAGGTTGCTCGTTCTGTGGACATGGCCAGGTGACCCGCAGCCTGACTAGGAGGGTGCAACTCT